CAGGAGCTCCTAGTAGCGTCCTTGCTCCTGGTAGCGATGCCAGGAACCCCTAGTAGCGTCCTTTGCTCCTAGTAGCGATGCCAGGAGCCCCTAGTAGCGTCCTTGCTCCTAGTAGCGATGCCGGGAGCCCCTATGGTAGCTTCCTTGCTCCCAGTAGCGATGCCAGGAGCCCCTAGTAGCGTCCTTGCTCCTAGTAGCGATGCCAAGATGCCAGGAGCCCCTAGTAGCGTCCTTCATGCCAGGAGCCCCTAGTAGCGTCCCTGCTCCTAGTAGCGACGTAGTAGCGTCCTTGCTTCTAGTAGCGATGCCAGGAGCCGCTAGTAGCCTAGCGTCCTTACTCCTAGTAGCTGTGAGGAGCTCCTAGTAGTAGCGTCCTTGCTCCTAGTAGCGATGCCAGGAGCCCCTAGTAGCGTCCTTGCTCCTAGTAGCGATGCCAGGAGCCCCTATAGTAGCGTCCTTGCCACCCTAGAAGCGTCCTTGCTCCTAGTGGCGATGCCAGTGGCAATGCCAGGAGCCCCTAGTATAGCGTCCTTGCTCCTAGTAGCGATGCCAGGAGCCTCCTAGTAGCGACGTAGTCGCGTCCTTGCTCCTAGTAGCGACGTAGTAGCGTCCTTGCTCCTAGTAGCGATGCCAGGAGCCCCTAGTAGCCTAGCGTCCTTGCTCCTAGTAGCGATGCCAGGAGCCCCTAGTAGCGTAGCGTCCTTGCTCCTAGTAGCGATGCCAGGAGCCCCTAGTAGCGTCCTTTGCTCCCAGTAGCGACGTAGTAGCGTCCTTGCTCCTAGTAGCGATGCCAGGTGGTTCTAGTAGCCTATAGCGTCCTTGCTCCTAGTAGCGATGCAAGGAGCCCCTAGTAGCGTCCTTGCTCCCAGTAGCGATGCCAGGAGCCCCTAGTAGCGCCCTTGCTCCTAGTAGCGATGCCGTAGCCACATATCGTTTGATCTATTCTGAACTTGCTGCAAATTAGTGTCCAGGCTGTTGGGCCCTGCGGCCCTTGGGAGTACCAACCTCAGCCAAAGAAGCAAAACCAAGTGAGAACCCACACCGCTTGCTGCATAGCAAGGGCCGTACTGTTGCCAGCTGCGGGCGCCAGGCTGTCCAGAGTCGGCCTCTGACACTCGTAATTGGCTGAAAACAAACTCAATTGCACAATTGAAACCTATTGAAACAAACTTCACGTGAACACATCGAACACTTTGGCTCAGCATTCGACAACGCTGCCATGTACTCCAAATCCGGCTGCCATGAACTGGCGTTGCTCGCCAAGAAAAGCAAGCATGCACAAAGGGTGTTTCTCGCTTTTGGTTCAATTTTGAATTGCAGTTGAGGCCAATCCAGCCAGCCTCCGCATGGTCCAAGGTTGCGCCCCTCCAACAGCAGAACATGTCAACTTTAGCTGCAACGGATTGCAAATCACAGTGTGTGTGCACAAAGGTGGGGTGAATTGGATGGGAAGCCTTCCGCTTCGCACCTTTTCCCACGGTAAAAAGAACGTCATCCCTTGGGACATGTTCGTTCATGTTCACTCCCATGTCGAACAACATGTGGGGCGCAGGAACTGGCGCTGTGGGCATTCAAGGAAAAAGCTCCTAGCGGCGTCCTTGTTCCTAGTAGCGATGCCCTTTGTTCCTAGTAGCGTCCTCTACCCCAATGGTGCTTAAGCCTGTTCCTGCCCAATTTTGACAACCTTCACACCAGCAATCCACAAACTCAGCTGTTCTAGCTTGGTTCTGAACAAGGTCCATGAATACCAGCAGCATGCCCAAGCAGAAGTACCCCGGCATCGCTCAACCTTTCATTAGCAAGCTGCCGCGTTCGCCTCCCACTGTACAAGGGTAGGGTGGCAAGTCTCGTCCCTCCAGTCAAGAATCAGCGACTGAATCCATGCAAACGCTCCAACTCACTTGCGGCCCGCTCTCAACAAGTTTGTTGTCAATGAAGCCTATCTTGTTGGAAAAGCAAATGCTTTCGCAGTGTATGAGCTAGCTAGTTAGTACAGGTCACAGCGAGCTCTCTAGCTGTGTCAGTATACACAATAGATCTTCGGCAGCCCGGGGTTTGCGACATCGATTTTGTCTTGCAAAAGTTTTTGCAATCGACCAAGAAGCGTGATGTCAAGGGATACGGTGATACGATGTGATACGATCTTTCCAGGCCAAATCCTTGACTGGGGGCGCTAAACACTGAACATGTTGTGTGACTGTGTATCATGGGTTGAATCCTGCAAGGCTGAGTGTGAGGAGGACGACGACGGAGGCCAAAGAACCTGTTCAGGAGACACAACGAGGAAGGTCAAGCAAGCATCAGTCACTGAAGCTGCACAATGGCTCCTGGAGGAATTTGCGAGGCTCGCAGCTGGGAAGGAGAACCAGGCGCAGGCGAAGATTGCAGGGGAGAGACTGACGCAGCCTGAGGAACTTCTTCGACAATTCATTGTGGAGGGCGGGGCGAGGCTCAAGGTCAAGCAGGGCTGACTCGCTTCTTGACTACGAACGTTTGGAGGGGAAACAACACTTGGGCAACAGTGACTGGAGCCTGATAGATGGCGGACGGGCCCCGGAGTCCGTCGGAGGTGCCCCTTCTCTTCCGGATGACAAAGAACGATCAGCTTGCCTTTGTGAACACTAACCCGCTCCAGGCGATGGAGGCTATGAGGAAAGCGTGAGGGATACGGTTCCAAGGCCACTGCGGGTCGAGTTCGGGAAGGGTCATTCTTCGAGTCAAAGTTCAACCCTTTTGGAGCAGGCGGCACAAGGCGGGCACAGGAGTTGGACTACCCCCAGACCGGTCATCAGCCACTCTCTGAGGATTGGAGGAGCACCCGCGCTGCTTCAGGCCACTTCGGACATCGAGCTTGTGAAGAGGATGGTCCGATGGTCATCATCAGCAGTACGCTGCATCCAAAAAGATAGAGGGCCAAAGCGGGTTGCATATCAAAAGGCCGAGGGCAGAAGGGCAGCTTGGCACACCAAACAATCTATGAAACCACATTATTTGTCCACTTACACCACCGTAGACCCCAAACAGGTCAGACAACAATGAAGCATTCCCAAGTCCACTTTTTGAGACATCAACAAGAAGGGTTCAAACATTTTCATGGATCACTGCTGTGTCGCAAGAGCGGATGACCTGGCGACCTGGAAAACTGGAGGCCCCATATGCCTCCGCCGTTTAGCCACCAGACGACTTCCTTAGGAAGAGGGGGAAGAAGAAGTTCGAAGAAGAAGAAGAAGAGGAAGAGGAATTTCTTCCAAGGAAACAGAAGGGAGACAAGACGAACGCAATGAACAACAAGAAGGGAGACAAAGGGAGACAAGAAGGAAGACAAGGCGGACACAATGACCAACAAGAAGGGAGACAACAAGGGAGACAAGAAGGGAACAGAAGGGAGACAAGACGGACACAGTGACCAACAAGAAGTGAGACAAGACTGGAGACAAAGGGAGACAAGAAGGGAGACAAGGCGGACACAATGAAGGGAGACAAGAAGGCAGACAAAAGGAAAAAAGGGAGACAAGACAAACACAATGACCAACAAGAAGAGAGACAACAAGGAAACAGAGGGAGACAAGACGGACACACTGACCAACAAGAAGGGAGACAAGACCGGAGACAAAGGGAAACAGAAAGGAGACAAGGCGGACACACTGCCCAACAAGAGGGGAGACCTGGCCGCAGACAAAGGAAGGCAGAAGGGAGACAAGGTGGACACAATGACGAACAAGAAGGGGGACAACACGGGAGACAAGAAGGGAAACAAAAGAAAACAGAACGAAGACGAGACGGACACAGTGACCAAACAAGAAGGGGAGACAGAAATGAGACAAGGCGGACACAATGACCAACCAGGACGGACAAGAAGGGAGACAAGAAGGGAGACAAAACGAAACGGAAGGGAGACAAGACGGACACAGTGACCAACAACAAGGGGGACAAAACCGGAGACAAAGAGAAACAAAGGGAAGACAAGGCGGACACAATGATCAACAAGAAGGAAGACAAAAGGCAAAAGAAGGGAGACAAGACGGACACAATGACGAACAAGAAGGGAGACAAGACCGGAGACAAAGGCAGACAGAAGGGAGACAAATCGAGAACCCCCTACAGTAAACTGTTTCGGGAACGAACAGAAATGTTGCATCCGCCAGCGGAAGAGGGCGGACACCAGCAGTGGCAGACCTGGGAGACAAATGCATAGAAATGCTACATGGCCAGCGGAAAACGGCGGACACCACCAGTGACAGACCTGGAGACAAATGAATGGAAATGCTACATGGCCAACGGAAAAGGGCGGACACCAGCAGTGAGACCACCAGTGACAGACCTGGGAGACAAATGAATAGTGACAGACCTGCGAGACAAATGAATAGAAATGCTGCGTGGCCAGCGGAAAAGGGCGGAGACCACAAATGACAGACCTGGGAGACAAATGAATAGAAATGCTGCATGGCCAGCGGAAAAGGGCGGACACCAGCAGTGACAGACCTGGGAGACAAAAGAATAGAAATGCTCCATGGCCAGCGGAAAAGGGCGGACCACCAGTGACTGTGGAAATTCGTGGTTTGAGAGCCACCGTTGGTGGCTAGCTGGGATTCTGGAACTGGAATCAGTGCTTGTGAGATTGGATGCAATGGTTGGAGTGAATTCCTCCCTCAGGGGAGCGCATGTTCTTTGAAGTGTTTGAAGAACTTCGAGCTTTCTTAGCTCGAAGTACCCTTTGAATCATTTGAAGAATCAGAGCGAAGTGTCTTTTGAAGAATTTGAACCATTTGAAGAACTTCGCGGGAATTGTCCTTTGAAGCAGTTGACATTTTTCGTGGAAGGCAGTATTTATTTGAGTATTTGAAGTGCAAGTGCTTGGTGGAACCAAGCGTGAACGTTTGAAGAACTTTTGTGACTCATCCTCCTCGGATGAGTAGTGGAAAGTGTCCTTTTTTTTACCTGGATTCACCATTGTAAAGACTCAAGGAGTCCAGATTGGAATATCAATTTAACGAAATCGTTCGAGGGAACGATTTGGGTCAATTGGCGGGAATGGAGTTTTCGCCTGAGAGAAGGTTACCAATTTTGACTTGTAGAGAAGGTTTACCCATTTTGACTTGTTTATTTGAGGCGCGAACACTTGGTGGAACCAAGTGTCGACTGGGAACTGGAACTGTTTAAGGAAACCAAAAGGGTCAGAAACAACTGAGATTGTTTCGAAGCAGTGAGGTGTGTTTTTGTCGTCCTCTATCGATCGGATCGCTCGAATAGGTGGTTAGCCTCGTGGTGCTCACTACCTCTCAATGATGACATCATGGTTCGGCCACGATCCCATTTGAGGTGATCTCATGTGGACCGTTCCGTCTGAGGGGGGTAGTGATCACCGATGGTGTTCTCTACCTGTTTTTAGAGTGTGAAGATTTGAAAAGAGGAAGTTTGAATGTTGGATGTTCTTGCAGAACGTCTGGCTCAAGAATGTGAAGAGAAGCCATCTCACGTGGTCCTTGTTGGCCCTTTGTGTGTGTTTGAGTAACGACACCAGTGCCTGCGAAAAGGGTGCTTTGTGCTGTGAGGATTTGCCAGGGTGCTTTCGGAAAGTGCCAGGAACTGTGCGTTCGTGTCTCACGCTCGACTGTTGGAACTTTGCTTCTTAGGAGGTTTGGTTTGTAGAAGGTCTCTTTGGACCCTTTTTGGGCTTAAAATTTCCGCATAGCGGAGCTGTGCCAAAAGCCAGCTGCCGTGAAAGCTTCTAGTCTGTGGAGGCTATGCGAGGTAGGCAAGAAGGTACGCGAAGGCGTGCTAGAGCTGGATCCCCCGAAAGAAGGTCTAGAACAGACGGAGAGGTTGAAGATGCCTGGATGGCGTATCGTGAGCGTGCGCAGCAGAGGTCTGAACTTCCAGGTCCCTTTGGTGTGTCGAGTGTGAGGCAAGAACCTGTGAGCCCTAGTCAGCTGGAGCGTGGCATTACGACAGGTGGGCCTAGCCCTGGTGGTACAGGTGTGCCTGTGGGAGGGTTTGTAGGTAGGTCCAGTCTAGATGGCGCAGATGTACCTATTTTCACTCCACTAAGGCCTCGTCCAGGTGAACCAGGAAGCGTGGGAACGTTTTCTTCTGAGACAGCCACAGAACAACCGCAGATGCGAACAAACTTTGGTGAGGCTGCCCCAGGTGGACCCAGGAACGAACCTGGCACAGCAAGTGGATCACAACAAGGAGTGGCAAATCTAGAACAGCAGTTGACAGCAATTGTACAAGCAATGACAGCATTGCAGTCTCAGTTTTAATGAACAGCTTGCAGTCTTAGAGCGAAGACTAGTTGCAGTCGAAGACGGTCGTTCTCGGGGTTCTGGCCTTGATGGTGGTTCGAGGTTTGGTACCCAGTACAGGGGTAGTGGTCAATCTGGTTCTTCGAATTTCAACGAGCCCAATACCCGCAAGAACTGAAGAGCATCAACCGCGTAGAACGCGTGAGTCTAGCGGAGATAGGGATGTTTTCAGCAAATCGGAGAAGTGGTTGCCACAACCGCC